TTCGTCGGTCAGGCTTTTCACCGGAAAATCAACCGGTTATTCTAGGACAAGATTAACGCGCACGCGCGAGCTCAATTCGGATAATTTAATTGTTAATTAATACGGTACGATTTAGGATTAATGCATTTAATAGCGGGAACCGTGGATATCAATGAATACGGAACGATCGTATTGAACGGAATCGGGCGCAAAAGCTATTCCCCGTGAACGCGAAATTAGTTAATTGTAACTGTTTCGTTAACAGGGCCGTGTGTTAATACGATTCAGTAATTTAATACTCTTTACGGATGAAGAGTTCTGCGTGGGGTCATCTACGGTCTCCTGATTTTAACTCGTTCGATTTTTATCGTGTAACATAAGTGAACGGTCAGTTGGTTACACGCAAATCTAAATATACATAATATACGATGATACAACCGGTGTAGGTATGATAAATATTTATGGAAAAGAGGAGAAAGAGTTCGTACTTTAATTAAAATATCTGATACGAGTAAAAAGTGACGGAGTTGTCATGGACACGAGGCAGATTGTGTTTGGTACGGAATTGCAGCAGAGGGATGAAGATGCGTTAGTTACGTGTCTGTGAGATAAAACAGGGTGGCCACCGATAGACGACACTGTCTGTGGATCTTGTTTAGCCGCAGGCGTCACGAAGGTGGCACCATTGTCTTGTCTCGCGTAAGTTTCATAGCTTTTCTTCCGAGAGCAATACAATAGATGCTCCGTCAGTATTTGATTTTTAAAGCCACGCCGGGGATTTATTAATCAATGGAGTATTGCGTTCGACTACGATTCCTGGAAGATTGAATTTCTATCGAATTTCCAGATGGGGATATTTAGACATTGCTTTGGCTCAGATTTATACATACTGTATTCGAAATTTCGAGAAGGAAATACCACCTTATTTTTCTAAATATTGTAGTCCAAAGTTGGAATTCTTCTAACGCTTTCGCAATATTTTTGTCCGGCTCGGGTCGATTTCGAAAATACTCTGAAAACGTGCGCGGGTTAGAAGAGATATCGCATTTAAAGAGGAGGAAGAATTGAACGCGCGTATGCATGCACATCGGTTCTCCTATTTCGAGCTACCGTTGAATAGAATCCTATGGTGGATCGCGATCGGGAAATACAGGAAATGAAGAGTCATTCAACACGGCGTCGCTATTATTTTTTGTTTCCTACTTTCTTTCTGCTGTTATTAAACCGCGTCCATTTATCCGAACGTTATTACGCGCGCAATGAGTGCGAAAACAGAAATTTTACGCCCCCCGAGTACTCGTTGGGAATTCAATGGCTCGAATTAGCGTTAGTAATTATTTAATAAGAATTCAGGAACACTATTTGGGCTAGTTCTGACTAGGGAATCGATTCGCGTGATTAGCTTTGTTTGCGTAATTCAAGGCACCTGCGTGGAGGCCAATTATGATCGATCGATGGTGTAACGATGATGTTCGAACGACAGAGCTTGCAGATATTAATGAATCGCAATGGTCGCCATCAAGATGGAGGAGCCATTACGCCGGGGGTGTGTATTTGCAAACTAGCTGCGGCTCCCGGCTGTTTATCGAGTACGAAATTTTGTGTCGATTAAGCCGGATTTATCGGGATGGCCGATAAATAACGTCGAATATACCGAGTTCGAACATTGCCTAAATAGTACGGTTCGGCGACGAACGTAGGCGAAATAAATTGCACCATTAATTCCCGAGAGTTTTCCGGCGAAGATCTCTCGGCGAAATTGTCTCTATTTTGGTCCGTAGCAATAAACATGTCTCGGAAGAGAGAGCAGCGAGGTTTTCTCGTTAAGTCGAAGCATCCCATTGAATGATTCAGCCAGGAAGCAAAGGGAGAAATAAATCGGGAATCGAAGTGCCGCGTGGATCTCACGGTAAAACTCTTCGACGAAGATTTAATTTGCGGTTCGCCACTCAGTGGCTGGAACGACGGAAAATCCCGATTCGCTATTTTTCACCTTTCCTTGTCGTTCGTTTTGTCCCCGCGACACTCCGTAGAAATTAGAAGTCGCGGAAACTTAATAACGACCGACCGCTAAAAAATTCGCGAGCAAAGTCTTGGTATGGACTTCTCGTTGCATAGCAAAGTCGATCGTGCCGTTCCCCGCTTGTTGTTCCGAAACTTTTTCCCACCGGCTGCCAATATGGCGGAGAGTTCGTAAGCGCGCGGTAATTTCGAGAGCGACGATTTTTCCGGCGCGGAGGAAATTAGACTCCTGCGAGCTGAAGTGTCGCGGAAGCCTCGACTCTACGAGTGGCTTACTTTTCCGCGTCAGACGACGAGTAGTAATTGCTGAAAAACATGCCGTAATTGCTTTCAATTCTTTCGTGCTCGCGACAGGGGCGAGAAAGCTCGTCGCGTTTCCAGAAGAGCTTTTACTAAAAAAAATTCCAACTGCCGCCGGCCATCAAGGAGAGTTTCTTGCTCCGTGAAACGCGGCTGCGGAGCTTTTCTGCGCCGGAAACCGATCCGAATGCTCGGAAGCGTGCAGTCTACTAAAATTCCGAAAGTCTTTTTAATTCGATATTTAAACTGGAATTTCTGTTTCGCTGTTCGCGAAGCATTTTTGTTAATTGTCCCGCAAGATGGACTTTTTCGACAAAAAGAGCACCGACCTCGACGAACGTTTCGCCCTTTGTGCAAGTCGGCAGGAACAAAAGATATCGCGGGACATCGAAACAATTGTCGAATCGTCTAATTGGATCGTGGACGCGGGAAAACCGTGCGGGGAAACTTAATTGGAGCGCTGTCTGTGCCGAAATGAAATTCGAGGGCGTAATTACCGAAAGAAGGGAAATTCAAGCGGGCAAGATACGCCGGCGAAAAGGTGGAAATTTTTCCCGGACCATGGTCAACGAGCGTCTCGACAACCTCTATTTATTCCACGAGCATCCAGGGACGTATCAAACATTTATCCAACGCGTTTTCTTCCATGGAACTCGCGATGGATAGAAGTCTCGTGCAGCTGCCCAAAGAATCGCATGGAAAATGTTCGGAATCGATTTTCCTTCGGCGCGAGATGTCAAAAGTAGCGAGAACTTGGGTCGACTTTCGCGGAAACTCTTGCAATTTCTCCAAGGAATAGTTGCTTTTGTCGTTTGCCACGCTCGTACGATAATATATCTCTTTCTTACGTAGAAACAGTTCCCGAGAACTTCGACGTTCGATATTGTTTGACCAACGTGTGCGATTCTGTGCGAAAACCTATCTCGAGAAAATTCTCGTGGATTCGCTGTTCCAAAACTATTTTCATGGAAATTCGTTTCCCTCCGTCGCACGGTAGAAGGTTCTCGTATTCTTGTTGGAGTAATTTGGCGAGACTTTTAAATATAGAATTTATATATGGGGTAAAAACCACATATCCAGACATATAATTTAATTATAAATAGTAAACCTGATGTTTTAATGGCACAAAATTCAAGTCTTGTTGTATATTCGTTAGCGTACAATTTCTGTTAACTTCATTTGTTTCTATCTTCAGTTTCCACTATCTTAGAATAGTCTAAGAACGCGTATTAAAAATAGTCAAACTTTGGACGCGTGCAGTTCCGAAACTACTAGTGTTTTATTAATTGTTAAGGCATTGTTAGCGGCAGCAAAGCTTCCCCTTTAAAGTGGTTTTTGGTTTTTGACGATCCGACTTTCCGTTTTCGAGATATCGTAATTTATGTAAAAGGTAATTTTTCTTAATTCGACTATCTCTGTCTCCGTCTAGCGCGTCGGATCTCTCGCTCGCTCGTGCGTCGTGCTGACCTACCCTACGAACGTGACTGTCGTGACCTAGTTCCGCGTAGTGTTTCCAAGAATTTACTACGCGCTACTATTTACGCGCGCGCGAGTTCATTCGTCTCAATGAAACGTAAACAAACGCTTCGGACCCTCGTATATCCGGAACTAGCCACCGCATCGACGCGAAACTAAAATCGCTATATCTCCGGAACTAATAAAGCTGTCCACTCGTACAAACGCTCATTTTAAAGGGCATTTAATCCTCTATCTTGTGAGCCTAACAACTATTATAATTTATGCTATGTTCTATGTTTATTTTAACATTTACTTTGACTCTATATATCCAAAGAAGTTTCAGTAGTTCCTACTGATCGTACGACTACTGTACGATAAAACTGGACCATACATTGTTTACTCGATTGAAAATTAATTTAAATACAGGATGTTTGCGTAATTACTAGCCAGTACTTTTTCTTAGATAATTGTTTTCTCTAGAACTAACTACGGTATCGACTTGGAACAAAATTCGTTTTCAAGGGCGTTTTATCTTCTATCCGATGGAAATTAAACAATTTTTCTATACATATAATGGAAAAATTACAAGTACGTTGCCTCGTAAAAGAGAAAAAGAAAGACTGGTCATGGTAGGGGTATACATGAAGTGTAGGTTTAGTAGGTATTCGAAATACGCTGCGCCTCCTCTACGAGCAAAATAAGAATGACTATCGTACGAATAGGCATCCATTATTAGCACACGTGCTACTCCAGACGCAACGCGGTCAAACTACCAGGTTTACGTGGTTACACGTACCAGAGCTAATGTTACATCGGTCATTCCTCATTCCGTCTGCCACGGTATATCTGTCTTTGGACAGCTGTTGCGCGTTCGCATTTCCGGTTACAGGCGCAAAAGATCGATGCACATTGCTGCTAACTATCGTCTCCGACTGTTTGTTCTTTTAAATTTTGTCCGCTTCTTGCCGTAGAATCGCACTCGAGGATCCTCCAAAAGAATATTCACGAATTTTTCTCCGGCGGGTTTGTTAACCGATGTAAAGTACAACTTGGAATTTGGCACAAGTAGAAACAGCGAATAATGGGCAGACTAATAGTGGTTCGAATAATTTCACGAGGCGTACGTACGAGTAACAAGGTGTAAAGAAATTAATTTGATTTATCGCGTGTCGACGAGAGTCGTTAGGGAGGCGAACGAACGTTGAAGGGCGAATTTCAATATGGACGACCTTAACTTGCAGAACTATGCGAGGAATGGGCTCTGGCGAATAGTCGCGAATGCGTGGAGGGTAGCGGTTCCGCAGGTACGACGCAGGAGGAATCCGAGGATGCGTCGGAAGCCCGTTTCACCCTCAAATATTTGGGCAGTACCCTCGTCGAGACGCCCTCGAGCGAAGAGGCGACGGCGGAAGCCATCAAGACCGTCATTACGATGGTACGTACACACTTTAATCCATCCTCCTTATCGCGGTCGTTTTCCCCTCCCGAGGACGCCCTATATTTTTCCTTTTATAGTTTGCGCATTCAATAGTTACCGCGGCAATGAATTCAAATTACAGGCGAACGTCTTTCCGCTGGAAAATTTATTTCCTCGCCTCGCCTAGCGCCCAGCGTAATGAAAACTCCTCTGCTTCGCGTTACGCGGTTTGTCTCTCGCGTCGCGAAAACATGGAAAAGCATAATTATTCGTTTTAATGGCCGTTGTTTCCGTTTCTCGAAAAAGCACGTGGAAACAAATTTCAATTTCGATTCGCGCTTTTTCGCGACGCGACGCCCGAGTCCGCGCGATACGTCATCGGGATCGACAAGAAGACAGAAAAGCGAACAATATTACAGGGAGAATCGCTTTACAGTTGATCGATCGTAGTATCGCGGCGTGTATCCAATTTTGCGTGTTACGAGGAAATGAAAATCGCTTCTCGGGAAAAATCGCTTTTTCACGAAGCGTGATCGAGGTGTTTCCGAAAGAAAAAAAATAAAGAAAAACAGGAGCGACGGTTGAAGTCGTGCATAAATCTCTCCGACGTATAACCCCTGTCGTAGCTGGCTCATTAATTTCTCGACGAAGTAAACTATGGTGCTGGATAAGGTCGATAAAGGTTCTCAGCCCGTTGAACGTTATTGCCAACCCCCATTGCGGTCTACAACGAATTTACCTCTCGACCCTTCTCGATATCAACCCATAATATTTCGACGTTTACTTTCCTCGCGGTCTCGACTTCTTCCGGACATAATTTAGACATCGAATAGAATTTAAACGCTAAATCGATTTCCATCAACGTTACATCGGCTCGTAAATGCAGCCAGTACAGTTCCAAAGTTAATTAATTTGACTTTACACGATGGTTAAATAGCTTCGTTAACGACGAACAAGCTTGTACTCGTATAAACTTTCCATTCCGTTATTAATCGCGACTTTCGTTGACGTTCGCCGACTAATTGCGTTCCCGTTTAGCGACGTTTCACGTAAATTGCATTTTTTACGTTTTATTAAACATGAAGAGACTCTGTAAATTCGTCGCGTTATCCTCCCTTGGACGAGACTCGTTCTACAAACGGAGCATGATCACGACCGTCTTCCAATTTCGTAGGACGTTCACGTTTAAAGCGGATTCGCGTAATCTTCGGGCAAGTTAATTCGTTAAATGCGGCATTTAGTCCGCTCGAGGCCCACTACTACGTTACCATAAAATGCCACGCCGAGTTCACTGTTACTCCGACAAGATATTTGGTTCCTGAAAACGGAATTAACCCACTTTCTTTTTATTTTCCCTAGGCATTCCTTGATAATCCAATAAACCTTTTCATTACGAAAACAATTCCTCCGCGACGACGAATAACGCCGCGTTTCGAGGAGATGGGAACACTGTTAAGAAAATTCAATCGCGAATATTACAAATGGCGGGCTGAGAGTCGGGTCAAAATTTTGGAAACTTACGCGAATGCTATTTTTCAAATCTTAAAGAAGTCGTTTGTTTGCATTCATAGTCGATGTTCCAAATTTGTTACAAATAAAGATAAACGGTTTAGAGTGGCGGCGAATGGGGTCATCTTCACCCTACGTTTCGCGATCCTCTCAACGATCGATTATATTTTATTCAACAATGAGGATTTAAAGATCTCGAAAAGGGGAATATATGTCTAGGAGCATTATGCCAACAATGTCGATGTAATGGCGGCGTTGGAACGCTTTCGATGGCGAGGAGAGTGTTGTTACACCCGGAAACGTTTCCCGTAAAGCTGCTACTTCCGTTACTTCTAAGAGCTCGAGCTTTTCGTCTCGAAAGCTTCGCTCTGACGAGACACCGTATGGAATATACGGTTACTCGTATTCGTACGGCGATTCACTATACTTTCTTACGAATTCTTTCCATTTATTTGTTTGTTTTTCTTACATCGTGCGTAATGTCTTCTTTATCCGAAAGGTCTGCTATCGGAGTATTTTACCATTCTCCTGTATAAGTAATATTTTACAACGGTTGAAAGCAACTTTGAGGATCGACGGTGTTGTTTTATTGTCGTAGGCAAAGGCGAGCGGCAAAAAGTTGCAACGAGTCTCTCTGGCTGTGAGTTTAAAGGGTATTCGAATGACAGACCTTGCTACGGAAGAAGATCAGCTTCAGGTATCCATATACAGGTACGTACGAAACGAGACAGTTTCACGAACGTATTCCAGACGCTTCCTGTTTGGCGAAACGCGCGCGTGCACGCCATGTCGCGATCGAAGTTGTAATCGGACGAAACCGGATTCGTTGCTACGGGCTTGTTGTAAATTTTCCCCTTGCGTCAGCCAACATAATATCCGATATCCAACGTACAACCTATCCAAAATCTCACGCAATGAAACCCGGCTCGCAAACGTTGCGCGATTCGATTCTGGTCACGAAATATTATTCTATCTCTGCTATACCGAAACCTCGATTTATCGAGTGGGAGTTTCAATATCTGATCCTGTATCGAAACGACAAACCATATCGTTGTTCTCCCCTGACTCTTTTTCACAGCCCCGTCCGGCTAATCGAAAAATGCATTCTCACACCAATTAACCAGCGTATTCCTCGACATTCGGAAATTGGAAAAAGTAACAAATTAATTTAATTTTTTCATTTTAAAAGGATTCTAGATTCGTAAAAAAAATAGAGTGATCTTGGCGTAAAATGCACAGGCATAGACAACGATATTACGTTTCATTATCACGCGAACGATATTTTTTTGCGAAACGAACCGTGATAAAGCGTGTTCTCTGTAAGAACAGCAATCCAAATGGGTTGGTTACACTTGAATGTGAAATCCCACGGAATACGGTGGTTTCCTATTGTTCGAGCACCGGCTTTGTTCGGTTATAATACACCCGAAAAGCGTTCAAGTGGTAACGAGAAATTTTACGGTTCGCGGTAAAAAGAAGGAAAATGGTAACCACCTCTGCTATATATTTTCTTAATCGCACAGTATCCGTGAGCTTCGCTGTGTAACACATCGACGCTATTAATGCTACCTTAATTAACCAGGCTGTAAAAGCGGTTGCAGTTTAAACGCAATTAAGGCGTGAAATTCAGTATCAAGGAACATTCTTTTGATTCAGCGCAGTTTAACCGTGTCGTGTATACGGCCTAAAAATGTATCGGGGCAAACTTAATTTCCATAAATTCCAGGGAAATTAGTGTCCTCGTTTTTTTCGTAAATAGAACGTTAACGCGCGTGGTTTCGTCCTCGGAGGAAAACCACTGAATCCAAAAGCACCGACGTACAAAGTTGGATTCGTGCTTGTTAATTTTGCACGTTTCAAGGTTTGCTCCGAGGCATCTTCTCCTACAAGTGCTTTCAGAGAAACTTCCCTTCATTGTAATCTCTCTGTTCCGTAACCAAGGGAAATTCGCGTCGCTTTCGCGAGCACGCTCTTTCTCCAAATGAAAATGATTTACATATTACACGTACACGTGTTTATGTCCGGTTATGCACTCCCCGAGTATAACTCGTGTCCGTCGTGTTTCGCTAACGCTAACATCACCGCTTTATAGAAATCATTTCGTAATTACTTTCGTGCTCGCGAGTTTGACAAAACTAATTAGTCGTAGAAATCGGTTAAATTTCTGTTTTTAGGTATTACTAGTTTTTTTCTTGACTAGATTTTGTTTCGTATCTGTCTGCCGTTGGCTGTCGATTTCTATGAATAATTCATGGGTCGCGTTCGGTACCCTGTTGTTATTGTTTCTAATTCCGGTGCTTCTAAAGTACCACCATATTCCGTCTGACTAAATCATACATTGTTTGTCGCCACCTGCATCGATGGTCGCTGATTGTTCGGTCGAAACACGTACCGCGAGGGTTGAATTTTCGGCTTCCGCCTCGTCATAGTTTCAAAGTTTGCTTCGTAGTATTCGAAACCATGATTAGCGTTTAGGGTCACATGTTTGTCGCAGCTAATATTACCGACCAATCAACGCTACATTTTGATACGTTATAATTGCACGAATATACGCAGCTTAAATGGACGGATTGTGCTCGAAAATGTTTTCAGAATTTCGTACTGCTCGGCGGATGCGACCCACGACCACGTGTTCGCGTTCATCGCGACAAACTTGAACGAAACGATGGAGTGCCACGCGTTCCTCTGCCCTAAGAGAAAAATGGCGCAGACGGTGACGCTGACGGTGGCCCAAGCCTTTAACACTGCTTACGAGGCATGGCTGTCCCAGGCCGATCCCAGGATCTATCACGCTCAAGATAAGAGTCCCTCGTTAACCGACGACAGAAGCGGTAGGTAAATTCGTCCGTTTCACGATTCTCTGACAATCGAACGACCGGTGGCGTAAAATTCCCGTCACGGGATTTTTTTAGCGTTATCGACGTTCCAACGCAAATGTCTCCTAAAAGTAAGTTTAATCCCGCGCCGCTTGATCCGCCATAAAAAGGTACACGGTCGACGCGATGCAATACCCATGTGGTCGAGCACTTAACTCGCCGAGAGTGCGGATATTGCGGAGAGCTTGGCCGAAGGTTATGAGTGCATCCCAGGAAATTGTCCGGTAATATTAAACTTCATACAGAGCCCGGGCTTGGAACATTACGGAAAAGTAGGACAATTACAGCCCGGGCCTGTTCCCTTCGTTCGCCCAGACACTGCTGACCGAGCACATTTGTTTCGGAAGGAATTACTCGCGATTACCCCTTGACGAGCAAATAATTACGTGCCAAACTGCGAGAAAACTAGGTGGAACATAATTTGGCCCGTTCGCGAGATGATTGTTAAAAGCGTTCCAAGCGACGCACGCGGCCGAAAGCAAACCCACCGATCGAACGTTCCAAATTAATTAAATAACGTCCGTCCGCGCGCGCAAAAGTCCATCGTTAAAATTAGTTTAATCGGGTAGGTTCACGGTTTTTTAAGCCCGGTAAAATATTTCGACGGGTTCTCGAACCCGAATACGCGCGTCGGGACGCGAGCTCGGCACGCCCCGGGCATTTCCCGCAAATGTTTCGGACGCGATAGGGTAAATAATCAGCGGCGCATGGGTAATTAATGAGGCGGCGCCGTTCCACTGTTCCGTGAGACGAAGCGGCTCGAAGCTACCAATTAGCGACAGGCTAGAAATCAGCGTTGCCGCGCCGAAGGTCCTGTTTCCGCATTACGGGAACTCTTCGAGATTGGTATGCATGTGGCCCCGATAATGAAAGTGTATCTAGGAAACTCTATCGCACAGCTGCCACGAGTGCTGCTTCCATTTCGCGATTTACGCAAATGGGATTCTCTGCCTCCCCTGTTTACACGCTCCCGTCGATACTCTTGCACCCCGAACCCTTTGGTCTCGAACTAGCTATTTTCTTATTAAATACACTCGCGATTGTTTGCGCAGAGAACAGCGAGAAAAAGAAGGACGACACCGTGAAGTCTGTGGGCAAAGCGAACGAGCAGAACAAACACAGCGATCAGCGATGCAACGTCAACGACGCTCAGAAGAATCTTCTAATCGATCTGTCCAACGATACCAAGCCGGCGGGTAACTCGTGGGTAAGCATCAGAGCGTAAATTGCGTAGATTTCTATCGAAGCTCGTCGCAAGCTTAAACAGTAACGGTCCCCGGGGAATGTTTGCAGGTTTGCTTCGAGGAGGAGTCGGGCCAAGACGGCAAGAAGATACAAAAGAAGAGCAGCTCTACCAGTATTCCCATGACGACTTTGAGGCACACGACGACGTCTACGTCGCACCACGTTGTGCCGAGGCCAACGACGGGATTCAAAATGCAAAACGCCTGGGGCGAGTCCAGATCGGTGGATCTGATGTGCTCGTAGCAGGCGTAGCCCTCGGCCGACAGCTTCCGCGACGTGCCATTGATCACTGGCCTCTGGAAGCACTTGTCGAACAACGGCCACCCAAAAAAGATCCACCAATAGGCTAATTGTTATCGCCGAATTCTTTCGAATCGTTCAGAGAACTTCTTGATCCGGAGATGGATCGAATCGTTGGAGGATATATTCTATTCGAAACACGCCGATTAGAGCGAACGAGCTAGTCGATCGTTTCCAATCCAGAGAACACTCCACCAGACAGACTCTGATCACGACACTTAATTCTTCTTCTTTTGTGATGAGACTTCACCGAATTACGCTTACCGATATTTTCGAATATCACGGAGTCAACGATAGAATCGTGGTGTGGTACGTAACGTACGCCTCGTGATCTTTTCGACGCTTTTACTGTGTCCTCGAGGAACGATCGAGATCGAGCGGTGCTCGAGAGGACCAACGAGTTCGGTGGAAAGAGAGAGCCAGAGGTTCGCGGCTAAGGAAGTGGGAACAATTTTCACAATGTATACCTTTTGTATAACGCGTCTATCCGTGCCAATACTTTCGCAACTCGCGCTAAAAACACACACGCACGTAAACATATCGTACACAACTTCGTATTGCTATACCATGTGCAATTCGAACTTTTACTACTTTTAACGATATACAAAGGTTTCTTTTCAAACGATTTCGCGTACGCCAAACGGATGATCAACGCGAAAGAAACGGTCGAATCGTCCGCGTAAAAATAAACAAACTCCTCGTAAATTTTAAGCGGACCCTCCTCACTGCGAAATAGCTGGGCTATTTTTTTAGTTGGGCGTTTTTAACATTCGTCTCCGCGCGGAAACAATATTCTAAGCATAGATTTACGATTAGACGTTAAACGTAGAACGTACCGATAGTACAGTTGATGTTAATATCGCTTCTTACATTGTAATTTTTAATGGAAAAAATCATGATAACGACGGCTGCTCCTTCTTTTCTTAGGACGATGAAAGTGGGTATCGATTTTATCCTTTTCGAAGTACGCTGTAGCAGGTAAGGTCCAAGTCGTGGTCTTCATAGAATCGATGAAATAGTTTGATTCGATATTAGGAAAATGTGTTGATGTACATGTCGTGATGGCGTATATCCATTTAGCTATAGTGTTTGTTCGTCATTGAGACTCTAACATTATTTAATCCGCGAAGAAGCGAGTTTCTGTTACTTGGGTCAAATATTATTGTTCGATCGTTACGGTTTATATTTGGTGCTCGAACGATCCCTTTTGTTTAATGATGTTAATTGGTAAACGACAATATCGTTTTTAATTCCCACGTTAAATCGTTTAATCGTTGTTATCGTATTATTATCGTCGCACGTAGAGTTCTTTGAACAAGTTGTTTCTTGGATGTTCGTGTGCTTTTGGATTCTCGATACACGGCGAGACGAAGCACGGGAACGTTAAAATTGAAAATTCGTCGGATTGTCTCGCTCTCTGCTTTAACGTAGTCGGCTACTTTAGCGGAAACGTTGATAGATCGTTAGACTAATGGGATACTATGAAATTATTAATGTTCGCGAACGGACGTTAACAACGTCGATCGATCGACAGGCAATTTTTGCATTTACACTTAAATTTGTTCGATTTTTTCGTCCGCCAATCGGGTTCGTAATCGAGAACCCGAACATACAGTGTTTATCGTTTAAGAACGAATATCGGAATATTTTGATCGACTTCGTTGACGAGAATCAACGATAATTTTATACGGTCATGATTCGATAGGCGGGATCCGTTATTGGAAAACAGATTTGCAATTTCGCCTACTATGCTAAGTGTTAGAACGTAAGAAGTACACGTGAAATACACGCATACATATCTAAGCTGTGTTTTACTGTCGAAGACTATTCGATTTGCATTCGATTGAATAGACTCGACTCAACCCGTGGTCTCTTGCGATTAATTGTTTACGGAATACCCTTTTATTGATCTTCCGCTCCGTAGGAACCTTTCCGTATTTCCGTGGACGTTTTAAAGATGGCGACAGACGTCAACTCTCAGAGCAAAATAACGGATTCACGGAGGTAGGAAAATTTCTCGTTCGTCGACAATTCCTCTCACAATATTCCCAGGCGATAAAAATGATTTTCAACGATCACTTTTGTTCTCTATTTATTTGTTGCTTGAACAAAATTTGCACGACGACGTAGCTCGTCGTTTCCAGGGGTTCCAACAGATGGGGACGCGTGTTCGTAGTAAATTTTTATCTCCAGATTAACCGTATCCGATGAGTTCTTTATTAATCGATCTTTGCGAAACCATTCTTCCGCGGCGAATAGATTTCCTTAAACAATTACGCGCGTCTGTTTAGCGTCAGAGTCGACGGAAGGTGTGAATTAAATTATAGTTTAAACGCTCGCGTGAAAACGCGTACCCTAGAGAAGGATTTTCGTTGAAGCAAAACTGGAGCAGGGTAAGTTGAAATATGTGTGCAAACTTAGCCTTCGTGATACGTCAATACATCCTCGGGCTATTCAAGAGCCGCCGAACAGTGGCTAGAGCCATGCAAAGCAAAGAGGAACACGTTAAAGCAGAAATGTTTCGGGGTTACTGCATAGAGGGTGAGTAAACGAGCCCGCTTCAGCCGAAGTAAGCGAGACGAGGCGGAAAATAACGGGCCCCGAAGCGGGAAAGAGAAGGAAACTGTGACGTCGACCGGAAGACAAAATAAACTACTCTTGTATGTAACCGGGTGCCTTTCGGTGTTCCTCGGATGCCCCAGATGCGATTTCTTATCTCGGCCGATTTCTTCCTCGGATGTAAAACCTCCTCGCTCGCTCCTCAATCTTTGGAAATAAATGTCCCGCGTTCGTAATTACGTACACTTCGACGGCAGTCTTTCACCCATGAATATACAGAAACGGAACGTTCCTCGACTGGTTTCTTAGTCGTAAACTAATATTATACATATTTATACCGATGGAGACTTTCTCCGACGAAGAAGCGTATTTCTTCGATGGTTTTTCCAACCGATTTCCGTCTCGTATATCTTTCGCGCGACACGCGACGTACCTTTAGCAATCAGCTCGGAAGTAATTTACTGTTCCTCTCGCGCAAGCTTCTTAAACGGAAGAAGATTGCGACGACACGAACGGCCGAATAGAAACGAGGAAATTTTCGATGATACGAACGCGGTCGAAGCTTATTTGACGAGATCGCCGGTAGAAAGGTCTTCCAGGAAATTGCGAGGGTGGAAAAAGAGGTGGGAAAAAGGAACGGCTGGAGCAAACCCTTTTCCTCCTCGGGGAGCATCGCAATAATGCCACGACCTCGACTTCTCGTCGTTTTATTTCACAAATTCGCTGAAAATTTTTATCGAACCGGGGGTCATCTTACGAAACGTTCGTTTAAGCTTTCGAACTTTAATAAAACTGAACGCATACTCGGACCGGGGATCGACCAAGTTTTTCTACGATTCCCCCCGCAAACCGCGAATTCTATGCGTGGTACGCGATGCTCTACGAGAGAATGCAAAGACCGCAAATAGAAAACGCGGCGCAATTATAAAATGAATCGGTGCTCGTTTAAGAATTGTTCTTACCGTGACGGAAATTCTCATTAATTTTATCTACGACTCGGATAACCATTGAAAATGGAAACACGAGAGCGACACAAATATTTTTCCACGGCTTTTCACCGTTCTCGTTATACCAGCCCGTCTTTCAACCGTTTCATTTTCTCGCAGATTTAAAGGTTTACTTCGTTAAAATTGAAGCTGCCTGAACGGGCGATGGAGTCTCAAAGAATTAATCTCGCCTCCGCGCCGAACGGAACGATTAAACTTTTTAGCTGAGAATTTACTCGGATCTCCCAAGTCGTTGAACAGAGATAGATACCTATCGGGGAATTGCCGAAGCAATTGAAAAGAGTGGATATCGAATTGATTCCGTAAAACTTTCAACTAGCTAGCTTCGAAGAAAGAAATTAAAGTTTCTTTCGCTGCCGGCGTCGCGCGAATTTCCAAAGGAACTTGAACTTCGTGGATCTCAATGGACGAACAGTTCTCTTTTGCAGCGATAAGGTTTCATTGTATTCTTTCATTCGAGTTATCAATGCGCATTCTTGCAACCTTTCGAGTCGAGGCAGTCGTCGAGGCAGTCGTCGAGGCTCTTTGTGCGTTCAAAACAATTCCCTTCCAGCTTTTAAGGTACAAAACAAATACCACCCTGGGGTATTTTCGTCGTACAATGTACTCGTTAACATTTTTACAAACGATATCTTGTCGCTAAAACACTGGGACTGTACGTTTCTTTATGATTCAAAGTCGGTGTTCAAAACCCTCGATTGCCTCTAAAATCGTACAATTCTCGAGAACTTGGATAATCGATAAGACTCGAAGGTTTATAAATCTAAAGAATAAGATTCGATGTTTCACGATTTAAATTATTTCAAGTTGCCGCGTAGTACCGTTGGCGCGCGATAGGTGGCGGGTCGGTGGCTAGGAGAATAAGATTCAACATGGCGTCGCGTCCGTGCCGTGGAAGTTGTCCATACCGCCGCTCGTAGGCGCTAGCAGTCGCGTGTCAGTCCGAGAACGTTTCCTCGAGGATGTTCGCGGTAAAGATCTTCCGAATCGGAGATCCGTGGCTTCCTCGGTCGTCCAAATTTCCCGCGAGATTCTGGAGTCGCTACAGCAGACAGCCGTCGAAGGACGGTGACAGTTGTTTTCCGTTCGTGTCATCTCGAGTGTTATCCAGCAAGGACAGTGTCTGTTTTACCGTGTGATCGTGCTTTCGGGAATGAGTAGAGGGAGAGCGTGCTCCTGCAAACTGTCGTGCGTGTAACAAATCGTGCGGTTCTCTCAGATGTTCAGGGTGAGATTTCTATGCGATCACATGGTTGCCTGTCGTTGTTTACCCGGCCATAATTAGCGAGAAAGCTGGAGGCTCGTCGGTCGACAAGGTGCACGACGAGACAACGCCGAAATACGCTCGTGAGGCGGAGAAACGACGAGGTACGTTACTCGTGGGACTGGAGGCTGTCGCGGCTCGCGGAAGCTGCGTATCCTCGTCGTCCGCGTCGAAAACAAGAAAAGCTCGAGAAACTTGACGCCGTTCGGTTCTTCGAACAATGGTATGTGCTTCTTCATTATGGAAACGAAACACGTTCGAACTTGTCGATCGCGTACTTCGCTTGTATTTGGTCCGGTCGTGTAGTACTCACGTGACAGCTGACGGCCAAAGGGCTGTTACGATGTTATCCAAATGACATCGTTCAAACAACGTTTCGTCCTTTCACGCGATAAAATTTATCCGCCCCAGGGTCGCCGAATACGTTCTCTCTCTCACGATTTTTTACTCGATAGTTTAAATTCCAATTAACGGTACGTAAATGGGTGTTTCCATCTTCAAAGTCGGATAAACGTCCGAATTAATGAATAATAAATGTTCGTGCAAACATTGACGTTACGTAAATTCAACGAAACTTTGAAACAGTCGTAATATTTTTAGCTTCGTACCGAACAAATTTGTCCTGACACAGTTTTTCGTATCGGCAAAAATAACGAAGATGTCCAAGGCGGTGAAAGTTGTTGGGTCATCCTGTATGAAAAATAATTCGCGCACGATGCGAGCTCTATTCAATAACAAGAAAGTTGACTCACGGACCTTGGAGTTTTGCTCGTAAAATTAAATGCTCACGACTCCGGTGCTGCACCAAATGATATACCATAATTGTATTTATCCACAGATATACATATGTATAAGTGATCTTTTAGTGTTTTTCGGATGGATAACGTACTCTAATAGCTTCTTCGATCCTGCGTATCAGTGTATTGTAAAATTACAAGTTCGAAGCGCCTCGTTATAATATTTAGCTCGTAAATCGAGAAATATGGGAGCCTGATACGCGATATTATTTTTATTACTCTGGAACGTGTGCGCACGTGGCGCCGAAGGAACGCTAATGAGCATAATCATTCGTTAGACAAATAAAGCGTTCTTTATTCAGTATCGGAGGCCGCGGTTTCAATGCGAGCATTGTTTCAACGTCGCTACTGTATTGTTTCGTCGACGCAAAACCGGGATCGTTTAACTGGATTTATTTCAGCGCGCGGGACGATGCGTTTTCGTTCGTTTAAATTGGAATGCAATTAAAGGGCAAACGACTTCGTGTTTTCGAATATGCCGCATTGTGTATTATTTGATCGGGACGGATAAATTTTGAACGAATGTAATGCGAAACGGCCAATGAATTCGTGACGGTCGACGATCGAACGGAATATCACATGTACATAATACGCGCATATCCATTCTCGGCGACGCATTACGTTAAAACAATAGAAACCGCCGGCGACCTAAATGGCCGATAGTCCGTTTTTAATCTCACGAGATGGAATCCGCGCAACGATAAACCTTCTCGAGCCGTTTTCAGTGATTTCACCCGCTTTGCAACCCGTACTAATCAAATTCTAAATGGAATGCGCGACTGTTGCGCAACACGGTCGGTCACCCTTTCCAATTGTCGCAATCGTCTAGGAAATTGATAAACGCAACAAGATACGGTTCGTTCGGCGGGCCAGTAAAAGTACATGAAAGTTGTAACGTATTCATTTTTTTCGCGATAGTCGTTTCTAAATATCATATGATAATTTCCACGATACTCCGTTTTTTACCGATTGCACAACCTTGCACCAGGTTGCATTACTCGAGGCGTCGAGCGTAACTTTTCGATGTTACGGTTTCGAAAGACGCTTGGAAACGGATTTCCAAGGAGAATTTATGCCCGGACTAATAAAGGAAGAGACTGTATCGGGAACAGACCCGATTGCAACCAAG